CCAAGCCATAAAGTTGGAGCGCCCCAAGTTTAAGGGGGAGTGGGTGTTCAGATTGGAAGTGTTAGGTTGGCCCACAATAGAGGGATCAGCCATGATTTGTTCTCTGATGAATCCTCTGGCAATGTAACATAAAATGTTTCCTAAACAGCCAGTCAGGTCTCAAGAGTTTTTTTGGATTTCGTTCAGGTTTCTTAGTTGCTGATTCCTACTGATGGAAAGCGACAAGCTGAATGTTCAGTGTGGGCTAGTGGATAGGATGCTGGACTAGCATCTGGAGACCTAGCTTCTATTCACAGCTCTGCCACTGATGTGTTTCACCTCTCTGTGGTTTTGTTTCCCCTCCCATCTTTTGTTTGCTTATATTGTAAAGGTCTTCAAGGCAGGGACTGTCTCTTACTAGTACAATGATTGCAGTGGAATCTTTTAGGAATTACTGCAGTACAAATAATAAATTAAAATCATGTCAATGACCCGTAGACAGAGCTTGCTCTATGTTAGTATCTCTTTTGTAAATATTCCTGATAAAGAACCTGATTCTTGATCAGAACTGCAGGACTAGAGCTACAATATTTACGTTTTGAATGTAAATGGTGGTTATTACATTGACTATAAAATGTTGGAAGTCATTCTCTCTTTGGCCTTTGTTGTCTGATGTGTAGGTCCCATGGTCACTTAGCCAGTGTACATTCCCCCAAAGAAATGTCATGGCTCTGGAAGTTTGCCAGTAAACAGCCATTTTGGATTGGTAAGTAACTTTACTTCGGTTGTTTTCTCAGATCTTGCACATTACTCGTTTACAAAGGAATGTAAAGATGCATGTTGTATGTTTTCAGTGCTCAAACAATATTTAATGTACAGAAGCATGTGGACCTGGCTTTTTATTTCTTTCTGTCCTGTATTTTCCAAAGTAGCACTAGAAGTTTCATACCTAATCCATTGACTACTAAGAGCACAGTTGTTTATATTTTTACCACTGATCATTTTTTACTGTTGGAAAAATTAATACAACAGAAGGACTTTTCATCAAGTCCTTATTTATATTGTATGATGGGACAGATTGTAAACTGAAGCAACAGAACTTTATCTGTAGTGGCTGTTTTAAACATGTTTTGAACATCCCAAAGGGTACCAACACTGTAAATAATAAAGGGCATGAACGCTGGGCCACATCGGCAGCTGATGTAAACTGGTGTCATTTCACTGAAGTCAGTGGAGCTGTGCAAACATACATTAGCTGAGGATCTTGTACATCATCTCTAATCCTATCTTCAAACTTTGTACTGAGCCTTCTAAGTCAAAGCAAATGTGCTATAGGATCACCAGCCAATGTGTGTGGGAGTGTTTTGTTTCTCTGTGAGCAGACCTGCCGTACTTTATTAAAAAAAGAACAGGAGTACTTGTGGCACCTTAGAGATTAACAAATTTATTTGAGCATAAGCTTTCGTGGCTTTTATTCTCTAAGGTGCCACAAGTACTCCTGTTCTTTTTGCAGATACAGACTAACACGGCTGCTACTCTGAAACCTGTTTATTAAAAAAAAGTGCCTTAATTTTTTTATCAATACATTGTCTGGAAATAGATATATTGAAAGTTTTGGTAAGTATTTTGGCTCCATTTTTATATGACAGATTTTCCTTTTCATTGATTTTTTCCCCCTCACATACAGTCATTGAAAGCCTTTGAAAATGCAAACCGTCTAATTTTGTAGATAGAACATACTGTGGATTTTATTGGTTGTGAGTTTCCTAACTGCAGTTTCTCTTGTTGCAGGACTTCTGGAAAAAAGTGAGAAGGACAGGTGGGTCTGGAGTAATGCATGGCCAGTAACCTTTCATAACTTTTAGGAAGGAAAACTATCACCAAACCAAACAGCTCAACTGAGATGTGTTCTTGTACCAAAAAAAAAAAAGGAAAAATGGGTGACAAGACAGTGCAAGCAGGATCACAGAGACACATATGTTTGTTCTATTCCTTTGCTAACTGACCTTACCTCTCAGAACCCCAAGTTTTCAAATATCCCAGTATCTGCTTTGGAAAAAGGGGGATGTGATGGAGGTGGTACATGGTCAGCAAAGTCATTGCAATCTAGAAAGAAAAGCTGTTAGCAGAATGATATTAAATACCATATTAATAGAGGAAAGTATTCTAGCAAGTATTCTAAATCCATCTCTATTTTCCTTCTGGAGAGCTAAATCCATTTAAACCTTGCCAGAGCTGATAAAAAACAATGGACAAGCTGAGAAGTGCACAGGTTTTTAATTCGCTGAGGGATTTCATGCATTTCCCCATAAATTTGCCTGACAGCTCACAGTGGTCTCTCTTTAAACGTTTACCTTTATCATTTGGAAGTAATTAGCCTTACCTCGTTATTAGAGGCAGCTGGGCACAGGTCAGTAGTATGGGCAGTGGCTCAGCAACCAGTGCTGTAGTGGTAAAAAAAGAAAAGGAAGTGGGTAAACGCCTAAACTAAACTCCACATTCCCCAAAGGAGAACTGGGTAAATTTCATTTGCCCTCAACTTCACTAGTGTCTGCAGTTACCCAGATCCACTGGTCTAAGTACCCATGATAAGGGGTGGGTGCTGAGAACCTAGTACCCAGTTGTGCTGGTGCCCGCTGCCTTGGGAAAGAAAGGATTTCATTGCCCTCTGCTCATGTAACCGTCACCTGTGCAAGGTCCATTTACTCAGACGTGGCACAGGCCTCTAGAATTTTGCTCTTCAAGGGCCTGATCCTGCACCATTGAAGTTAATGAGAGTTTTGCCATTGAAGTCAACAAGGGCATTAGGCCCCAGTGTAAAGAGTATGGGGTTTCATGCATAGCATCAAATGGAACAGTATCCCATTATCAGGACAGGAGTCAATAAAGATTTAGAAAATCTGGTGCAGCAGAGTAGGCCCTAAGTTCATGCAGAGATGCAATATGCCTTCACTTAGGTGTCTGTGTTCCTCTTAGGCCCACAATTAAATGCTCAGTGGAAACAGTTATTGCTCATCCATATTTGCTTCCTCATATGAAAGACAGGAAACTCCTAATCAGGAAAATGCAGCACAACAGCTTATTGCAGTGGTGGGCAACCTGCGGCCCACGGGCCACACGTGGCCAGTTAGGGCAAGCCGCTGGCGGACTGCCAGACTGTTTGGGCCAGGCCTGCGCCACTTCCTGCAGCTCCCATTAGCCAGGAACAGCGAACTGCAGCCACTGGGAGCTGCGGGCGGCCGTGCAAATGTAAACAAACAGTCTGGTAGCCCGCCAGTGGCTTGCCCTGGTTGTTCACCACTGGCTTATTGTATGGACTAGATATGGATTAGATGGCTGACTAAAAATCTTAATACCAATCCACCGAATCTTTCCTGCTCAGGATAATTTCACTCTTAAAAAAGTGGAACGTAAAAACCCAGTTAACTCTGCTAGGATAGCATACCAATAACATGTTTATGGGAATGCTCCATTCCTAGACTGAAAGTTCTGTAAAGTTACCCTGCTGCTGTCTAGAATTTCTGTTACTTTAATAAGATTGCATTCTTAAATGAAGGAAGAGAGTTAGCTTGATATGTTTATTGTCCTCTGTCAGACTGGTAATAACATTCTTTTTTCTACATTAAAATACACACCGTTGCTTATATAGTTGCATATTTATTCCCTCCTCACCACACTTTCATTACTGTTCCCTTTAATCATTAATGAGTAGTATTCAGGTTCCAGATGATTTAAAACTATGGTCCACAGAGACACTGGCAGTATCTTTGCTGGAATAACATTGAGCCTCTAATTTTAAGACTTTAAATTCAAAACACATGGCTCTACCACTTCTAACTCTCAAAACCAGTCTTGGAGTTCAGTGATTATCACTAGAGTACAAACCACAGCTACTCAGTAACTCTCAGCAAAGCAAAACCATAGAATTTAAATTGTGGTTCTGGTTAGAAAAGTGACTGTTTTAATAATTGCTCCGTTTTACTCAAGAGATCTGCTCCCTCTGCATGCTGCAAATATCTCTGCTGATTTTATTGACTGAAATAAGATTTTACTGCTTTTCACTCCTCTTAGTACTGCAAATGCCAGGCAACTGGGAGAGTGAGCCAGATTCTTTACAGGCTCACACATCCACAGAATTGTTAACTAGGTTCCAACTGCAGAACATTTATTACTGATGATGTGAGAGCCAGGACAAACATATTTTGACTTTCGAATCCCAGGGAGAGTTTGCAGGGTGCACGGCAGTTAAACAAAACTCATTTTTTTTCTACTTGTGAATTGGGCTATTTTGAAACGGAATCGTGTAAAGGCAATAGAGATGGAACCATGCAATGTTATTTTTATGGAGTAACTTTTCAGATTATATTCATTCTTTAAATCTCATCAGGAATCTGGTGTCTGAACAAAGAAAGCATAGAAAGAAACTGCCTGAAATGTGGGGTGGAGAGAAGATGAAAATTGAAAATATAAGGATGTAAGAGCCTCAAATGTTATGTTTTCTGCTTAGTTTGAGGAGATAATTTCACTCCTTTTGCATCCCCCTGATGTGGATTTCTTCCATCTACCTTTGGGGTTGAGCTTGGGCATTTATTAGTTAATGTAAAACCAGACATCCTTTCCCCTTGCTTAAGACCCTTCTCCATGTGTTTACTACTTCACAAAATTAGATTCTGGTTTCAAAGCTTATTGCTTAAAGTCACTGCCTTAAATGTTATACATGTATTAAATGTTATACATGCATTTTGTGTCTACAAATATGTCTCTCATTACAATATTGTGACCGTTAGCTCTGATATGTATATGTACTGTATATGCAAAATAAATAAAATGTTGGTAGGATGAGAGCAAATTCATTATAAACATTTTTTTAGGTGTCTCAGTTTACTATAAATAACAAGTCTCAGTATATTTCATTGATATTTAAATATATGTGCATATTAATTAACTGGTTGGAATTTTGTAGTACTTGAGCAGTTGATGTCCAAAATGTGACCTTTGATTTTAAGGGATGACTGTTTAGCATGTATGCAGAATGTTTTGGTCGTCTTGGTATGTAGTCTTACAAGCAAGTAAAAGTAAGCTCAGTGCATTTCTAAATGTCAAATGTGCTGAACTACTTTTCCCTTGTGGTGGTAGAGGAAATATTTGTAATAGTTTGTGATGTGGAAATATTCTTAGGATGGTCAAGGACCTCCAGGGAAATTTCAGTCCTGTCCTATACTAGATACCAGGGTGTTTCCCAAGGACTTAGGGTACGTCTACACTTACCGGAGGGTCCGGCGGCAGGCAATCGATGTTCTGGGATCGACTTATCGCGTCTAGTGAAGATGCGATAAAATCGATCCCTGATCGCTCTGCCGTCGACTCCGGAAATCCACCGCGGCAAGAGGCGGCAGCGGAGTCGACGGCGGCGCGGCAGCGGTCGACTTTCCCCCGTCCTCACAGCCAGGTAAGTCGACCTAAAATACGCAACTTCAGCTACGGTATTCACGTAGCTGAAGTTATTCACGTAGCTGAAGTTGCGTATCTTAGGTTGACCCCCCGCTGTAGTGTAGACCTAGCCTTAGTGCAATATATATAACCCTGCTAAATTAATGATGCCCAGAAAAATCCCATGAAAGATTTCAACAAGGTGTCATGTCTCAGGTTGCTTTTAATAAACACACCAAAGCTTCGACATCATGGTTTGCCATGATGCAATCTGTTTGCCAGAAGCTGGGAATGGGCAACAGGGGATGGATCACTTGATGATTACCTGTTCTGTTCATATCCTCTGAAGCCCCTGGCATTGGCCACTGTCGGAAGACAGGATACTGGGCTAGATAGACCTTTGGTCTGACCCAGTATGACTGTTCTTATGTTCTATGTTCTTATATAAAGAACAAACAGATTTTCTGGATACATGCAAATTGCTGGTGGTCTACACGCAAACCAAAGAAAACTTTCAATGTCTTGTCCTGTCAGCTTGTCTTCTATCTATCTAGGTACTAATATGTTCCCCAATGTCATAGTGTCTGAAGTGTTCTCTGATCAAACCTGGGATGGATCCTCTGAGGGCTGTTTCTTATTTGGTTGTTCCAAGGACATGATCAGGAACAAAAGGTGAGATCTTGCTCCCTTTGAAGTCAATAGCAAAACTCATACACTTCAATGGTGCAGGTCCACAAAGGGTATCTTTCCAGGGTATTACACAAGGCATATTTGTTTGCAGCAGAGTAGTCATGCTAAGGCCATCATTTCTTTTCAGCATCTGGCTGGAATATGGCGCGTAGTGAGAAAGAGAGAGGGCAGATCAAGCCCATACCCACTGAGAGTTCTAGAAGCTAACCAGAACAAATCTCCATAGGGGGACACAAAGGCCCATTAAAGCTTCTGAATAGTTGTCTATTGAATGTAACCTGGCAGCCAGGAAGAATCCTTTCTTCTTCTTCTTTTTTTCCTTCTATGGCTGATCCCATTCTCCTCTTTTCTGGGATCCAGGTTCAAAGATATGTCAAATGCATCAATACGTCAACAATAATGCTGCTACCATGCCAAGAAAATCTAGGAAGTGTTTTGGGAGCTCTCAGAATGTTTTTCAGGACTAGGCATGGCAAATCATTTGCACAGTTACCATTAACAATGATGCAAATTGTGCATTTAATTCCCTGGAAATTAAATCTTCAGCTGTTCAGGGGAAAGCAGGAACCAAAAGAGATTAAATATTGGAACAGGGAAAATCTTTTTAAAAACATGCTGTCTTTTCAGATAGGAAATCTCCCAGTCAATCCACTATCCAGCTGTTGAGTTTACTATTTGAATCATAGACTTAATTCATTGTTTAAAATGAATTTTGCTGTATACTGCTCAGAATGTGATAACACGAGATTAGGAAAAGTATCCGGACTCTTTCAGTGTCTTGAAGTGGTAACGATCCACCATGGGAGCTGCATAATTAAACGGGAGTTAGTGTGGGTAGGGAGCCCTGTGAGCATATCAATTCCCTTCCTCTTCATCTTGCTCTTGCACCTCATTGCTGGAAACTTTTCTGTGCCTGTGACCAGCTAGAAGAAAGATGTTCTCTTTCTGACCTTAAACTATATTTCAGACTCACCTTCTGGACCCTGACTCACATCCTCTTTTTGTATTAGTGAACATTTTTGCTTCGGAGCAACTGGATACTCATTGGCTCTGCACCCAAGGTAGGTGTGAATGGCTCTACCCCCATTACACCAAAACTGCCCCATTAATTTCAGAGGTGTACTAGTGTCAGTGAGGGCAGAACTCGCATGGAAATGTTCTTACCTCTATTATTATTATTTATTAAATATTTGTATGGAGGTAGACCCCGCAAGTCCCGATCAGGGCCCAGTTGTGCCAAGCACCATACACATACAAAATAAAAAGACATTCTCTGCCTCCTAATATCTCTATTCTTTGTAGTGCTTCCTTTTAAATGATGAAAGACAAAGCTATGGTACTTTTTTCTAAAAGCAGTTCCCCGTGCATTTTATTGAAGAAGCCTAGAGCTTCCCTTATATGCTTTATTTTTCTCTTTCCTCAGAAACGATCGTTAGAAGCCGTTTCGCTGCTGATTAATCAAGAGAGTGATATGACCTTGCATTTTAATGCTAAACCAATTAACAGGATTTGACGACATGCCATTCTACTGCTTGAAACAAAAATCAAGGAGAGTGCAGTGCCCCTCGAAAAGAGTAATAACTCTCCGCAATGCCCTGGTGAAGGGGAAATCAGAAATTTGGCTGCGTGTGTAATTTCCAACTCCCCTCCCCCAAAACCTATGCATTTGAGATGAAGCAGCTAAACAATAAAGAGATGTGTAATTTTTAGTCCCAATCAAGTTATCTTTAAATACATTGACTTCTAACACAGAAATCACCGTTGATGTTTCTGAACCAGCACAATTTATTCACTTTCTAAAACCAATTTGAGTCAAAATGATCCCTGAGAAATTTCCACGGCACCATTTTCTATCCTATATTTACCCAGTGTTCCATGCAGAGCATTAAACCTATGGGGGGCTGTTGTGCTGTCGGTTTGATAGCTAACGTAGCAGTACCATTCATTTAGTTTATCTTGATCAGTGGTTCTCTCACTTTTGTACTGGTGACCCCTTTTACACAGCAAGCCTCTGAGTGTGACTCCCCCCCCTTATAAATTAAAAACACTTGTTTATATATTTAACACCATTATAAATGCTGGAAGCAAAGCGGGGTTTGGGGTGGAGGCTGACAGCTCCCAACCCCCCAATGTAATAACCTCGCGACCCCCCTGAAGGGTCTCAACCCCCAGTTTGGAGAACCCCGATCTTGATAATGTACCAACATTTGGAATCCCCAAGAAATAAATTAACGTATGTGACAATGTGTTCTAGGTTTGAGCACAATCTTCAAATACAGTTGATTTGTTTAAATTTCTTTTAATCTAGTTTCCTTTTATTTTTCCTTGCAGAAATGCATTTTAAAGTTCATTAAGAGCCAGTCCCCACAGATGGTTGCCACCAACAGGAGTGTTGTCTACAACGAGTAATCCCTTCCACCAACTCACTAGGGACAACTCCAGTAGCAAGCAAGCACAGCAGGATGCTCTGGGTAACCCAAAGATGTCGGCAGTGCTGGGAACCCAGCTGTATGAACATGGATGCTGTACATAGGTAATAACCTTGCTACAATGTGCAGTTACAGTGACGCATAGGCAGACCCTGGAGTGTGGTATTTGAAGCACGAATGCCTCCAGCACACAGATGACTCTACTCCTTACTATGGCCACATGTCGTGGAGACTGCTGGTATACAGCTTGAACATAAGTAAAACACAATAACTGCTCATAAAGCAGCATATGGGTAGAGCACATATGGATAGTTTTTATGTTCTGTGTGATACTTCCACTGATATTTATTGTGATTTAATTTAGCTAATGTGAGGTAAAAATTAAATTGCCACTATGCTTTTTAAGACCTGCTAGGAGCTGAACATTTTTCGTTATTTTTAGCACACTGGCAGCAATTTGTACAGTGGGTGCCAACTGCAAAAAACCCTGAGTCAGGCCCCCGAAAATCATGGGATTTACTTAAAAAGCATTAGATTTTAAAATAGACTCAGTGCTGGGTTCTTCTAATAACCTTCTGGGGTTTGAGCCTTTTGGAGTCATATTTTCAAAGCTTTTTCTGTACAATCATGAGTGCTAGAAACTTACTTCTCCTGTTAATGAAAGCTGAGACTCTGCCATAATCACAGGACTCTGAGGACATGGAGCTTTAAGAAAAGCACCAAATGTTGTGAGCATCACAATAAAATCGCCAGAGGTGACAACACTCACCACTTCCAATTTTGACAGACTGGTGACTGAAGATGGGGTAGAAGAGCAGAGGAAGAATAGTCCAGTGGTTAAGGCATGAGTTTTGAAGCCCTGGGTTCAAGTCCCTGCTCTACCACAGTCTTTTTGTGTGACCTTGGGCGATTCACTTAGCCTCTCTGTGCCTCAATTTCCCAACTGTAAAATGGGAATAATAGCACTTCCCTACTTCACTGGGGTGTTGTGGAGATAAACACATTAAAATCTGGGAGGTGCTCAGATACCACAATAAAAGATGGATATATAAGTACCTTTGAAAGATCGTATCAGAGGGGTAGCCGTGTTAGTCTGATCTGTAAAAAGCAACAAAGAGTCCTGTGGCACGTTATAGACTAACAGATGTATTGGAACATAAGCTTTTGTGGGTGAATACAAAGTGGGTATTCACCCACGAAAGCTTATGCTCCAATACATCTGTTAGTCTATAAGGTGCCACAGGACTCTTTGTTGCTTTTGAAAGATCGGTGACTCAAGAAGAATGCAGACGTTTTCCCCAAAACTGGTAGCACTTAAAAATATCCTACTTCTTTCTCTGCAAGCACACCTTCAAAGGTCTATCAAATCTCCATTTTGATAAGAAAGGATGAGAGGAAGCATGATGTTGTGGTTAAGGCAAAATGTTGGGTAGGGAGGTCTGCGTTCTGCCCAGGGCTTCCTGTATAAAATTCAGCAAGTCGCTTAGGACCAAATTTTCAAAAACAGCCATTGATTTTTGGGTGTCTGGCATGCTACACAGTAGTAGTACTTTGCACCCTGCAGGCCCCAGGTGTCTCACACCGACCATCCAAAAATGCAGGCACCCCAAATAGACCACTGATGAAAATGTGGACTTTAATCTCTTAGTTCCTCTATCTGTAAATATGGGAATGAAATGTTTATTTACTTCTATAGGGGAGTTTGAGGCAAAATTCTATAATGTTTGGAAGGCATTTAGCTATCATGGGAGGGAAGCCACCATAGAACTATACTTGATTATAACAATGTTTTTTAACATCTCTGGGACAAAACTGCATTCTCTCTAAACTCAATCAATCAATTAAACAAAGCCTCTTGACTTGAAACTGCTGCCAGGATAGCAAAAAGGACTACAGATAAGAGGATTTCTCAGGGTCCTAAAGTCTGTAAAGTATTTGTTTAATTTGTGGTACATTCTAAAAGCAAATCTGTAGCGAGCACCCAGTTTAGAAGTTTTGTTTGCTTTTCGCATAATAATAAAATCCATTTACATGACTCTCCCTGGGTTTGCATAAAACACAGTCTAACCATTTTTAACTCATGCTATTATTTATTATTTGTGGTATCATTGCACTTGGGAACTCTAGTGATGGACCAGGACTGCGCTGTGTTAGGCTTTGTACAAGCACAGAACCAAAAGACAGTGTAAACCTGCCATCCAAGTGTTTACAATCCCAGTTGTTCCATGTTAATTTTGGCAGCACACTGACAGTGAGTGAGAACAAAATAACCACATTTAGTCAACAGTGGTTCACCTACTACGCTTAAAGAGACACTTCCTGCCACATTCATCTCTCAGCTACATTGGTGTAAATCTGGAAGTCACTGGAACAGAATTTCGCCCTCTGTCTATGTAGGGTGACCAGACAGCAAGTGTGAAAAATCAGGACAGGGTTTGGGGGGGGGGGGGGAGGAATAGGAGCCTATATAAGAAAAAGACCCCAAAATTGGGACTGTCCCTATAAAATTGGGACATCTGGTCACCCTCTATGATTCTGTGGCCTGGTAAAGAG